ACAAAATAAAGTGTGTTACAAGAAAGCACAAGAACAAAAGAAAAAATAAAAAATACTCCCTCCGTCCGACTTTAACGGTCTCATTTACTTTTTGCGTCATTATATTTAACATTAAAAATATCCTTATATTTGTATAATGTTTTACACAAATGTTATTGTAATAGTATTATAAGACACTAATAGAAGTATTTTTACATTTTTCCCTTAATTTTTATTACTTTTTACATAATAATTAATATTCAAATATCAACACACAAAAAGTAAATGAGAACCTTAGAGCTTGACGAAAGTAGTAAAAATAAAGGAGAAAGTAAATGAAAATTTTGGAGTGTTCTTGGTCATCACCATTTTCTTCAATTCAAGTCTCTTTTTAAATCAAACCTCCATCTAAGCTATTGTAATCTCTTTTCCATCAAGTGTATAAATTCTTAATTATTATTTTCATTAAGTCTCCATCATAATTCCATTAAGTTTGTAAAATCTTCTTTAATCCCCCTTCATTATTTCAAATTGGAGCCTTTGATAGCTTAATTACTTAAATTATTTTTATTTAATTAAGATAATTATATGGTTAGGATTAATTCAGTTTTATGTTGAATTAATTAATACATCAACACAAGATCTTAACTCTTATTATTTAGTCTCAGTTACAAATTATCTGGCATTAAATTATGTTATCCTCATTGACATACGTCATTAGTGCTTCTTTATCTCTTCATCATTTTGTCATAACTTTTCTCAAATTTTGTTACATCTTTTTAAAAAACTTCTAGGGTCATGCCTTCAAAATGTCACATATAACAAATCCGATCCAAAAAAAGATTCTTGAATTAGATTTTATGTACCATAAAAATGTTTGAATGTATTAGACTTTCAAGATCATCCAATATTTTTTATTTTTTTTTCATCTAAGAAGTCATTCGCTCTTTATTCATGCAATAATTGGATCACCTTTTAGTTAAGAAAGTCGTGTAACTTCACCATCTATTTGAAAAAAATAAAATTAAATCAAGTAATAGAAGCAATGTCTTTCTAATCCAGCATTCTTGAAGTCTTTTGTGCTTCCTCAAGATCTTGGTCATTCACAATGGTAACTGGATTTACTTTTGAATCTCTATATTCATTTGATTCAGTAGTCGTGGATTTTGTCTTTGGATTTCATATTGTTGAAAGCTCTTTGGAAATCCTACGGGACCTTTTCTAGGGTTTAGTGGGAAGACAATGCATAAGGTCAGAAACTCCTACACGATAAAGTTATTCAAGAATAGTGGCATTGAGTCCTTTATTTATTATGATAAATAATTTCAATATCCAAATCAAAATGCTCTCTCAAGAAAGGATCCATGTGAAAATTTAGAATTCATTAGAAAAGCTACATAAAAAGTCTAGAAAACATACAAGACTCTTTTCAAAATCTAACAAGAAGACACCCTGATATCCTGGAGCCTCTAGGACTTTTCTTACGGCCCATCGTGAAGATTGTGTTGAAGTCCAGTAGAAAGGTAATGCGGAAGTCCAGTGGTATAGCCCAATTCCAGGGAATTTTCCTTCGGTCTTTCCTTTTTATAAGTTTGAAATTTGTGCCGTTAATTATCCCATTTTAAATCCAAATTTTTCCTTAAAATGGGCAATAAAAATCCTTTTTACCTTTTTGGATGAAGACTCTTGTTTCATCTTTGTTGTCCGGCATCAACATTATTTTTGCTAATTTTGATTCATAAAAGCCGCTTGGGGTACTCCGCATTGGATTCAGCCTACTGCTCCCATTCTTGGATGCCTTTTCAGATTGTTGGGTATGCCATAGAGTATTAACAACTTGGTCCACTAACCTCGCGCACCAAAATTTTCTATTATTCCTTAAGCTGGTATCTACTACAATATTATGGGATAATAATCACTCCAAAGTTGGATTTTGCTTTGGAGGCTTGAAAATTTGTCCAACCCTTAACTATAGTTTTTCAAGGTGGCTTATAGCTTCTCTTACATATGTAGTTGGTTCATGAGTTTTGTTCGGTTGCATCCCAATTGTATTGATATGTGTAAAAAATGGATGACCAGTCATATCAAGATTCTCAACTAGGTCAAGGCGGACTTCTTCTCTATTTCTTAATTTTGAACCATTTTTTGGTCCTAACTGATGTTAGGGACTATAGGTTACCTCAGTCTTCTAGCTTCTTAGACTTCTCGAAGGCTCTTTTCAGTACTAACAACTTTGAAAGTCAATACTTGGATGGGATAACAAAGTAGATGACCCCCGGACTGCTCACTTAGTTGAACCTCTTGAATTTTTTTTCACCAATTGGTCTTTGTTAAGAACTTCTGGCATTGATAGGTCACCGGAGAATAGTGGAAGTTTTTTTTGGAATTCAAGTCCTAAGTTGGTGGGCGGTAGCAGACTTCTAATTTGTATTTGAGATTCTTGCATTTTTTAGTTAGAGAAAGGAAGCAATATTTTTCGAAAAATCTATCCAAAATAAACGAATTGTGAAGAAAATTGAAAAAATGGTGTCTTACCTTCGAGAAAGTATGATCGAGTGCCTTCAAGTACCCTACCGGATTCTAAGATTGTTGGATCTATTAAAGGCTAGCCTATATTTGGCAATGAGGCGGTGATAGTCCTTTTGGGTATGCAAGGGCTAGTTGGTCCATCAACCTTCTACAGAGAAGTTTGTGTGGATGGAAAATCTTAGGATACACATTTTTAGGCTGGAAGTCCACTGCGATGGAAATTGGAACACTGCTTCTTGATTGATCCTTCAATGACCATGACCTACCTCAGGAAATGTTGTAGGTACTGATGGATATGGTCCTCAAGAAGTCCATTGATAAACTGGTAGAATGGGTGGGTGTTGTCTCCATGGAACCCAAGGATCCGCACGTTGAACGGAGAGTAATTCATGGCTGCTACCTTGGATGGCTAACCTTTTGTGTTGAAAAGTTGTGTTTGTGGTGTAGATGAAAAAAAATTGGATTCTCATATCTTTGCATAATGCCATGTTTGTCTCATGATTATTCTTGCCCCAGTCTATTTAGATGGTCGACAAAGCATTCACGGGCAAATTATGGCTACCATCTACTGTGAAAGGCTGGCCTCCGAAACTCCATCTATCATGGATGGTGTAGGCATGATAAAAACCACACTTATAGAAATTTGATCCAAGAAGGCTACAGTAATTTGGCTTAGTTGTCTTTCTAGAAGATGTCTAGTATTCTCATTTTCAAACCACTCATTTTGTTTGGCTTCATAGGATCCATCAAATTTTTAAAATTTTTCAAAGAAAAATCACAAAAATATAATTGAAGTCTTACCTAAAGATCATTATGAAAAGCTTTGACACGAATGAAGCTTTTCAGCCGTCCATTTATCGCAAAAATATGCTTAAAGTCGTACCTAAAAGAAGTCTTTTCTTCTTCCAAACCTCATTTTAAATCAAACATCCATTTCAACCATCGTAACATCTCTTATATTAAGTTTGAAACTTTCATTTATCGCCTCCATTGTAATTTTCGATAAGTTTGTAACATATTTCTTTAATCCCCTCGATTACCAAGTCTCCATCATAAATTATCTTACATTAAATATCATTAGTTATTCTTAATTCACTTTATTAGTGCTTATTGATATCTTCCTCATCCAGTCATGATTTCTCTCAACTTTTATTTGGTATTTTCTAAAAAAATCTTTTGATCTATTTCAAAAAAATTAATTACAACAAGTTCGATCCAAAAAAGTTAACTTTTTGTGTCAAATAATAAGCTTATTGGGCTTCTTCTCTCGTAGGCCTCAAAGTGGACTTCTTGCGATGCAAAGTTCGGTCAAATTGGATTCTTTTTTTATTCTTTCTTGATTCATTTAAAATTAATTTGATATTTCAGCCAGTGACAAATATATTACTCCCTCCGTCCCACATAATTTGTCTCTATTTTTTATTTTCGTCCGTCCCACATAATTTGTCATTTTCTTTTTTGGAAATATAATTATACATCTTAATCATATTTTAAATTTTATAATTTTTTAAACTTTAATTAAATTATTTAGTTATCTTAATCTTAATATATAATTATTTTTACTATACAATAATTATTTTTACCAATACACTTCTTAATTTACTTACTAATTACAATTTACCTAAATTCTTGCGTCTACAATAATATACTCGTATTCTATGGGACGGAGCGAGTATAATATTACATATTTTAAATACAAAAATTTGAGCAACATAAAATGAATAGCCGATGTCTAACTTAATTTTTAAGTCAAATGTCTAAAACTCAAACATTATACACAAATTTTTCCTTTAAAATAAAAATAAGAAGTTAATAAGTTAATCTAAATCCAGTTAAATTGGGATGGACCTAATAAACTATCCTACTCCAACTCTAGTGCCAGCCAACTTGGCTATAATTAAGTGGTGATATCCTCCATTTGGGAAATTTGTATTTTGGGTACTAACTTGGATCTTTTTGAGAGACATGTTTTGCTAATAAAAAAACTGTATACTTTAGTGTTTCAAAATATTTTTTTAAAAAAAAAAAAAAAAAAAAAAAAAAGAAAAAACCTCTAGTGCCAAAAAAATAATAATAAATAAAATACTCATGTGCAGAATCTTATGTTATATATCCATTTATATTGCCATATTTAGGTTAAAACCGAAATTTCTGTTATTAGAAAAACACTGGCATCATTTAAGTGACTGTATTTTGTACATACATAGCAACTCGCAGCACATTATACCATAAGGCAATCATAGAAATAATTTAGGTTTGTGTGATTAACATTTTTTTTTTTTTTTCAAAATATCATATCATAATTAAATAAAAAAAAATTGTGAAAATATTATATGAAATAATTATATATATATATATATCACATTAAATAATTATTAAAATTAATATTTTTATAATTTTAAAACACAGTAGAATACCAAAAACACAACCAAACAAAACATCTAGAAAAGTTTAATGGTGAAGTAGTTAATTTATATATGAACATTCATTCATAATATAAATAGTAATTATTCCATAAGTTATCTAAACTTATAATGAGTAGGTAGGTGTTCCAAATTTGAATAAATCGTACGGAAATAACTAAACAAATCAATCCAACCACTAATTAAATGCTAGCCTGCTAAATCTGCTCGATTATAATAATACTACATGATACTATTATATAAGTTAAAATTATATAACTATGATTAATGGTAACTCATTCCTTCAATTCATTTATTCATGCCTCCAAAATAAATAATTAAATAAAAAAATAAGCCAAAAATAAATAAACTCTGAAACTCACCCAAATGGCTCCACCACCTTCACCCCCCATTTCATCTGTCAAGCTCATTCATGCATCGCCATCGCCCACCCCACCCCCACCCCCCTTCTGACACTACTGCCTGCCTGCCTGCAATTCTGCCTCTCATTTTAACACCTTCACCTCCACCTCCACTGCCACCACCTCCTCCATTCTATTCGTCTATTTAATTTCTCTCTCAGTCCGCCGCGTTTGTCGCCGGCGGGTCGTCTGTACCAATCTCATAATCTCCGTCGCCGTCGCCGGCGCGGCCATTATTGTCGTTAGTATGTTGATCTGGCAGCATTAATGCAGAATCCTGGTGTGGCCATTGCTGCTCCGGGCGCGCCATTATCGGCGGCATTTGCAGGGCGGCGGCGGCGGCCTTCTCTTTGTATATGGCGTCGAGGAGATGATAGTAAGGGCAGGTTTTGGAATCCTCGCCTCTTCTTTTGTTGGTTTCCTTCACCTTCTTGAAGTACTTGTTGATGTTCTCCCATTTCTCCTTGCACCTCTTCGAGCTCCGCCTGTACCCTAGCTTCGCCATGGCCGCCGATATCTCCTCCCACAGTGGACCCTTCGGACCGTTCTCCTCATACTTTACCTCCATGTTCATTCGCAGCTCGATTAGGGCTTCTACTTCAGATTTTGGCCACCGCGACGAGCTTCCGGCGGCGGCGCCCCCGCCGCTCTGGTTTTCTGCTGATGATGGTGTTACTGTTGACAGCGGCGGTGCGGCGATCGGCGGTGGCGGTGGCGGAGCGGTGGTGATTGGGATATGGAGGTTTTGGTGATTGGATACCTTTTGGAGAAATGAGATGACGGCGGCGTCCTTGGCGGCGGCCATGGATCTCTCCTGAGAAAGGATTTCGTGCTCTCGATTCAGCCTGGTTATTTCCTGAGCTCGCCAGGATTCCTCGCGCGCCATTCGATCTAGCTCTCGTTTCTCGAGAGTTTCTAGAAAGTTCTTCTGCAACTCCTCCTGTTTCTGCACCACGTCTCTCATTAGCTTCTGAAAGAAGTCTTTCAACTTCCTCTTCTTCCCCCTCCGCCGCTGGATTTCCTCGTCGGAGGAGGTGGAGGTGGCGGAGGAAGACGACGATGCGGAGTAGTTGTTCCACCCCAGGTTTTGAGGAGGATCCATGGCAGCAGCAGCAGCAGGCGGTGGATGGAAATTAGGGAGAAGCGTACCGACGGATGTCGCCGCCATTGACGGTGGTTGAGCGGCGGCGGCGGCGGCGGTGGGCGGAGGAGGAGCGTTGTCCAAAGCCTGTAATTGATCGAAGAAACGATAGGTTTTGCCGTAGGATTTTGAAGCTCGGCCATCCTTTGTTCGCTTGTGGTATTTATACACGTTCTCGAACTTCTCTTTGCATTTCTTAGAGCTTCGTTGAAATCCAAGCTCCGCCATTTTCCTGACAAATAAAGATAAATCTCCATTAATGAAAGCTCCGATCCATCTGTTTTTTTTTATTATTGGAATCTTCGCACTAATTAACCAAATTATCTTCTTATCACATACGATCAACTTGCGAGGAATCAACTGCATCCATCTCATAAACACCGAGACAACAAGCATATGACAAATCAAGGAACCGAACTATGAATTATGAATCATTCAAAACGCCGCCGCCATGGCAGAAGAAAACTCAAAAAGCTTCGGAAAGTAATTTAACTGGAGAGGAAAAGCTGGTTTTCACTGAATCCTGTTGCTATAATTCGAAACAAAGTTCTGAAACCAAACCAGCACAGAAGGCGAAAATCCGGAATACAAACATCAACAAAAGATGCTGAATTCCATGAAACCAGCCAGTCGAAGAAACTTTAACTCCAAAACACCAAAAACGAAGAACAAAAAAAAAAAAAAAAAACAACATCAACAGCAATTCATCCAATTCACGATCACCAAAACCGAATAATTCCTCGCAGCAAGTCGAAAACGCTGAATCGATAACGGAAAAACAGTGATTATATATATATGTATATATCTATACCTGGAAACTTCTTCCCATAATGGACCTTTAAGGCTGGAGTCTCTAAAAGCAGCATCCATATCAGATCGAATTTGGAGTAAAGCCAAAGTCTCTTCTCTCGGCCACCGATTCCCCGCTCCGCCGCCGCCGCCTGCACCGCCGCCTCCAATTGTGTCACTATCTTCCATTACAGCGGCTCCGGTGGAAGCACCGACCTCGATGATGCCGCCTGTAGCGGCGGCGGAGGAGCTCACGAGGTCGCTGGATGTAGCACCGAGCATGAGGAGGAATTACAGGATCAAGCTAGCAGAGAAGTCGTTTTCCCTCAATTACCAGCTGAAAAATATAAATAAATAAATAAAAATAAAAATGAATAATATCTAATGGAGGGGAGGGGAGGGGTGAAATAAAATTTTGTGAAGATTGAAGGTCATGTGGTGAAATATAATTAATTTATATCCGTCAGATCTGCCCTGTCAATCTCACACTCTCCAAATACACCTATACATACATTTACCTGTATATATATATATATATATACAGTGGGGTCGAAAATTTTTTTATATAAATAATATATTTCCATAAAAGTGATATAAGTTTTTTTTTTTTTATCTCAAAATAAGAATATAATTTTTTTTACATCACACAGTCTAACCGGATATTTTGTCTTTGTTTCTATAAATCAATATAATACTAATATTAAAAAATATATGTGAAAAAATAAACGTTACTCTTCTTTCGTAATGGATGCAGTATAATAATTTTAAAATTATATAATATAACAAAAAAATTTAAAAAATTACAAACAACTTTTTAGTTTGTTTTATGAAGTTCTTTTTTGAGATATTTTTAAATATTTACAATATTTGAATTAATTCTTTTAAGTATTTAAGTTAAATATAAATAATAATAATATTGTTATAAAATTTATAGGAGAGATCAATTATTTAAATTTTTAAAATATTGCATAATGAAAAATATAAAATTCAAATAATTACGGCCTATATATATATATATGTATGTGTATTTTAAAGTGATTTATTTATTTGTAAAATTATTCTTTTCCTGATAATATACATGTAGTTACATTGTATAATAATGTATTTGTAATATTATTATTATTATTATTATTATTATTACATATACGAATACGTATCGCATACGTATATTGAAGTAGAAGGATCTGGATAGCCACGACGCAAAAGTAAAATTCATAAAAATAAATAAATGTGGCTTCTTGATAAATATATTGCGTAAAAATTGAAATATAATAATAGTAATGACAATAATATTTTTAATGTATTGATGTATAATGTATAATATACTATATATATATATTTTATTATTAATTTTTAATAAATAAATATATTTTTACATATCAAATAAAAATATAAAGTGTGTTTTTTTTTTTAAACCAATCCATATATTATTCTAAGAAAAAATTAATATATAGATCATTTATTATTTTTATACGCCCTGCGTCCAAAAACTATAGTATGGGTTGTGATTAGCACGAGATTTAAAAAATATTAATATTATATTAGTAGTGAGTAAAAAAGTACGGTAAAAGACTTTTTTGCCTTTGTGAGTGTATTGGTATAAAAAGTAGTAGAAATTGTGTAATAATAATGAAAAAGTAAGGATAGTTTTACAGTGATATGATTATTTATGGAAATGGAAATGAGTCTATTGTTTTGAAATAGACAAAAATGATAAACAAGACTATTGTATTGGAATAAAGAGAATATTATTTATATAATTACTCGTGTTCCATATAAAAGAATATTTTTTCAAATTATTTTTACACAATAAATACTCTCATAAAATTAAAAAATATTCTTTAAAATTTATAAGCATCTATTGTTGCCGCTAATATATATATATATATATTGACCATGTTTATAAAATAATACTATAATGATTAATAGTTAAAGATTATGGGTTATAGTTATATATATATATATATATGTATATTTTCTAAATTTTTAAAATAAAAATATTTTGATAATATTTATATAAAGTTTGCAACTAAATTCTTAACATTTTTTTATAATAAAAAAATATTGTAATAAAATTTTGAAAATCAATTAAAGAGAACAAATATATAATTATTATATAATATACATACATATATATAGTTAGCAGTAAAGTATTTTTTTTTCTATTAAAAGAATTTCTACCTAAATTTCTAATTAATATTATAAAAAAAATACATATATATATGTACACAATATTTTTTTTTCCTCAAATTTATTCATTTTTTTAGTCTATCCGCTAAATTAATATCAAAATTAATTAATCAATATTTAATTATACATAATTGAATTGCAAAGAAAAAGAATTTATTTGGTAAAAATAAAGAATTAAGTTGACAAATATAAAAAATATATAATTATTTGGATTGATCAATTAAAAATAAATGATTAATCAGGTAAAAAAAAAATTAACGAGTAAGAATCTATAAAAAAATATTTTTTGTAATTTTTTTTAAATAATAAATTAACACGATGTTTTTTGTAAAATCAAATTTTAGTGTAATTTTTTAAAAAATAGTAAAAAAATATTTAAATAATAAATTTATGTGATGCTTTATAAGATTAAAATAATATAATTAAAAAATATAAAATTAAATAATAAAAAAATATCCGATCAATATACGATTCTCTATATTTTCTATACATGACAGATAAATGAAATCAGAAAATAAAAAATGTTTTATTTCTCAATTATCTGGCTCGACGAAACATTTATATTTAATATTTTGAATAAAAAATAAGTATATTTTATTGAAAATTATAAATAGCATAAAAACTTTAAAAAATACTTCATATGTTCGTTATAATTATATCAAAAGTTTTTTTTTGTCTGTCCACAGCAGTAGATCGAACTCTAGACATAGGGTTCTAATACCATCGGGGCCATCTCGAACTTTTTCAAGGTCCTGAAAAAAAAAATGATAGATCTTATAAATAAGTATATATTTTTTTTAAAAAAAATACTATCAAAGAACAATATAATAATAAAATTCACAGGAAAAAAAATCTATTATATACAATAAATGAAATATATGTGTCCGGTAAGGGATGACGGACTGATGTGGAAGTGAACTGCCGGACCTAGTTTGTGATATATATATATATCTTGACTATTATAAAACTTTACAATATTTTGATTATTATAAAGTCAATAACTCAATAATAATAACTAAAAATTCTAAAGATGATGAATATAAAATTAGAAAAAAAAATAAAATTGTTAGAGTTTATTAGAATTAGAATTGGATTGGGTAATTGTAAAAACACAAATATGAGATAAAATTTAAATTAAATTTTAATACTCCCTCCGTCCCATTAAAAGGTTGCCATTTTTCATTTTCGTTCGTCCCAAAACAAGGTTACCATTGTACTACCTACCTAACAAAATAAATATCCTTCCAATTTACACTATATTACACAAATGTCATTACTTTTATATTACACAATACTAATAGGGGTATTTTCGTCCTTTTTACTACAGTCCATTATAATACTAATATTAAAAAATCTACGTGCAAAAAGCATACGTTACCCTTGTTGCGAGACGAAGGGAGTATATCTAATAATAATTATGAGCTTTATAAATATTTACGAATTTTTAAAGGCGAGAAAGATGGAATTTTAAAAAAATTATAGCAAGAATTTAATTTTAAAATTAAAATTAGACTAGATAATTGTTGAGAAAATTTTAAGATAGAGTTTAAAATAAATTTTAATATAAAATTAAAAAATATAGGCCCTCTTGAAGTAGAGACCCTGAGCAATTGTTCAGGTTGCTCTTGATAAGAGCTGACTCTGAATACCACGTCGGATGCGCAGAATGACTGTCACACATAAAAGCTCAAACTATTAAGAAAATACATCATAAATTTATTTATTCGCAAACGGGAATCCTCTACCGTCATTTTAATCCATCGAAATACAAAACATACATCTCAATTTTTAGTAAATTTGATCATATTATGGATTATAATCTATATGTATATATATATATATATTCAAATTTAGTACTCCCCTTGTCATGCTAAATTTATTCTCATTTTTTTTTAGTTCGTCTGTTAAATTTACCCCATTAATTTTGGTAAAGTCAACAAATCAACATTTAATTATTACTTTTCATTCAACACTTATTTACAATCAATATCACTAACTTTATTACATTTTCTCTCTTTATTTATTTTCATTTCTAATTAAATTTCCAACCGCACGTCATATTCATACGACAGTTGTTCATACACAACCACGTGCGAACTTTTACAAACGTATAGAATATATTTTGTCAGAAAGATAAATAAAAAATAAAAAAATATTAGATATACATAGATAATATTCTTTTTTGATTTTCCACAATATTAAATATACACTTTTTTTATATATTAATTAAGAGATAAAACAACATAGGATATACCTATAATTTATGAAAATTACACGAAAATTCTCATTGTTTAAAAACAATGCCAGACTTTTTTTTACTTTCAGAAACTCTGCATTTAATCCTTCATTTCGGTATTTAGTTAAAAGTGATTTCGTAGTTATTAGAATTTCTGTATTACTTTTGCAGTTAAGACTATGTAGAACAATCACCGTTAACTAATGACAAAAATGAAGTTAAACGTAGAGTTTCCGAAACTATAGAGAAAACTGACGCAATTTTTAAATAACAATGATTTTCGCGTAATTTTAATAAATTATAAATGGAATTTATGCTTTTCTGCCTAATTAAAATAATTGAATGAAATATTTCAAAAAAGTGTATTTGTGTGTGTATTTCAAATTTGATACACAATATCATTTGTAAATTGTAATACTTCTTCCGTCTGTCATACTTAGCTTCTTTGGGCTTGGCAGGATATTAAAAAAATAAATATTTTATTGAAAAACGAAAAAAATAAAAAGATAATTGAAGTATTTTGAAAAATTTAACTAGTAAAATAAAATGAAATATATTGCATAATAAAGTTTGTTTAAGTTGTTTGTAATTAATTGTTGATATTTTTAACTTTTGTAAATATAGTAGTAGAATATATTTAACGGATGGACGAAAAAAAAATTAAATTAAATTTGACGGACGAAAAAAATATAAAAAATTAAGATGTTATAGAACTAAAATATAGAGTTTTTCCACTTTGTATTTTTGATGTATGCATTTTTTTTATTTTAATTATGAAAATTGTGTTGTAAAAATACTTCATATTTTATATTAAGTCATAGAATTTTTGTGAACAGATAGCTAATATATAGTATTATACTCCATATATTATGTTAATATGTATTTATTGTATTTTTAATATTTATGAAGAACTTTATTACAAAAAAAATACAAAGTGAACAAATTTATTTGATTGTGGTTTAAAATTGATTT